GTGTTGTGATTTATTGCAGCACTCCTGTAACAGGTGTTGATCATGTTTGATACTGATTATGAAGATCTCTGCTTTGCAGGAGATCTCTTTTAATATAAAAAGATAGCATAATAAACAAGAAACAGAACCAATGAGGGGGAAAAAACGCACATACTTGAAGGCATTCATCATCTTTAATAAGCTTAGCCAGCTGAACACTGCTAATCAGCTGTGAAGTCCTTGCTTTGAAGAAGCAGCAATTCAGTTGTATACCTAATAGGGTAAATATAAGATAAGCCAAAAGAGATGGAGAACATTTGTCTATCTAAAAGCTTTAAAGATTTTGCCAAATGTCACACACCTGATAAGGTGCTTTCAGAAATTGTATCACTTTAAGTGGAGGTGCAGTTATCTTTTATTAACACTGGGCTATGACATTCAGATGACTCACAAATATTAACGCTTCAATCATCAAAGGAAATATTTGATTATTTAGAATATAGTGAAACACCTTTATCCCTACTCCTGTATATTTACATTCCAGATCCTTCCAGTGCACCATAATGTTCCTCCTGAAACAGAGGTAGTAGGGCCCAATCCAAAGTCCACAGAAGCCCAATCCAAAGTCCGAAGGCCGCTGCAGGCCAGACCCAGACATCTTGAGGCTCAGAGGGATACTATTTGAAAAGCGTGTTCAAAAAGTTTCACTGTATTTTCAGTCTCAGAATCTATTTTATCCTATCCAATCCCAAATAATAAATGCAAATATTACTTAGTATTAATGTCACTGTGTACTTCGCATGGTCTATTTTGTTTATTCTCCACAGTGCTTTTCTTCTAATAGCATAAATGGTTTTTGTTCTCCTTTCAGATCAGATTCTGAAGTCCTTAGCAATTACTGTGCTGTCACCTTCTGAGTTTTTCTCACACATCTCATCCCATTAACATCATTTTATCAAATCTCCTCCTCCTGAACATTATAGCATTAACCCAGATCTTGTGGCATGTGGCCGCTATGAAGCAACAAATGGCGATGACCACTGGCAATTATAGCCACAATCCTATTGATAGGCAGTTTGGGTCTAGTGGATGGTCAGACCCATGCCTGAGGCAGTAGAAAAGTTTTGCAGCATCCTAGGCAACTGAACAGCCCTTTTTAGGAAAGCACTTCTCAGTCCTTTTTATGGGAGAGAACTAGACAAGGTGCACCAATCACTGCCTGCCCCATAACACCAGGCTACTACAGCAACTACTACAGCTGGCAGATTATCTTACTGTGGTCAAGAAGCAATAAAGAAAAAAAGACTCTTGCTAGGTGCATGGAATGTCGATACCCTCGTGGAGGGAGGCGATGCATGAAGACCTGAGAGAAGAACAGCTCATGTCTCCAGAGAACCTGTCCGTGACAATATTGCTCTTGCAGCACTTCGTAACTCAAACGTGGCTGGGGAAGGTTCTATCAGTGGCTAAGCAGAGGATGAAGACAAGATCCATGGAGTTGGATTTGCACTTAGAACATCTTTCCTGACACCACTTCCTGGCCTCCTTGTCGGCTTGAATGAATGTTTCATGGAACTTCAGTTCCCCCCGAGACAGTCATCACAGCCTATACTGACCAGCACAAGGGCAAGCAAGGAGCACTTCACATCTGTCATAGTCAATCAGGACAAGCTCATGCTGCCTGGCTCTTACTACATTTAAAAAGCAGAGCCACAGTAGTTTGGGACCAGGCGCAAGCCAGGACTGCTCAGTCCCAGCTCGCACTGGGTCTCAGGCTGTGTCTCTGTCTCTCTTGTTCCCCCTCCCCATGGAAATGGTGCTCAGAGGAACTGGCTTTTGAGCCGGCTTCCCCCCGGCACTGGCTCCTGCTCCCTCCCCCTTGCTGCCTCTGATACAGAGGCAGCAGGCAGTGGGTGGGAGCAAATAGTTGAGTAGCGACACGACTAGTCACTTACATCCGTAGTCTAAAGCCAACTGTGAAAAGTTACAAAAGGATTTCACAAACTGGGTGATTAGCAACAAAGGGCAGATAAAATCCAGTGTTGATAAATGCAGAGTAAACCACTGTGGAAAACATAATCCCAACATTACATACAACATGATGGGGTCTAAATAAGGTCCTGGCCTCCCATATTCCTCCCCCCATTAATTTTGACAAACTTAATGTGTTCACTGTCAGGTTCATTGGGCCTTGTGTCCACCAAGCCAATGGATGGATGGCGGGAAGACACTGGACAGTAGGCAGGGCTGGTGAATGCACCTGGGGGAGTACAAGAGGGTATCAGGTGGGGCTGGGGAGAGACCTGGAATATTGCTAGTGTTGGGACATGATGGGCCCATATTAAGTCCAAGACCAAAGACCAAAGCAGACAGTGAAGAGCTTCAAAAAGATCTCACCAAACTAACTGATTGGACAAGAAAATGGCAAATGAAATTCAATGTTGATAAATATAAAGTAATGTACATTGGAAAAAATAATCCCAACTATACATACAATATAATGGGGACTAATTTAGCTACAACTACTCGAGAGAGATATTGGAGTCATTGTGGATAGTTCTCTGAAAACATCCACTCAGTATGTAGCGGCAGTCACAAAAGCAAGCAGAATGTTAAGAATCATTAAAAAAGGGATAGAGAATAAGACATAGAATATTCTATTGCTTCTATATAAAATCATGGTACGCCCATGTCTTGAATACTGTGTACAGATGTGGTCGCCTCATCTCAAAAAAGATATATTGGTATTGGAAAAGGTTCAGAGAAGGGCAACAAAAATGATTCGGGGTTTGGAACACTTCCCATATGAAGAGAGATTAAAAAGACTTGAACTTTCCCAGCTTAGAAAAAAGGAGTATAAGGGGAATATGTTAGAGGTCTATAAGATCATGATTGGTGTGGAAAAAGTGAATTAGGAAAAGTTATATGTTCCCATAATATAAGAACTAGGAGGGTCACCAAATGAAATTAATAGGTAGCAGGTTTAAAACAAATAAATGGAAGCTTTTCTACACACAGTCAACCTGTGGAACTCCTTGCCAGAGGATGTTGTGAAGACTAGGACTTTAAAAGGATTTAAAAAAGAGCTAGATAGATTTATGGAGGTTAGGTCCATCAATGGCTATTAGCCAGGATGTGTAGGAATGGGGTTCTTAGCCTTTGTTTTTCTGGAAATGGATGATGGGAGAGAGATAATATGATGATTACCTGTTGTGTTCACTCCCTCTGGGGTATCTAGTATTGGCCACTGTCGGCAGACAGGATAGTGGGCTAGATGGATCTTTGTTCTGACCCAGTAGAGCCATTCTTATGTTCTTAACTCACCTGCAGTGTTCAAAACCTGACTGGTATGAATTTATTTCCCAGTTCACTTCTATAAAGAAAAATGGACATGTACTAATTATTCATGAGCTGAGATTTATCCTCTTTGCACTTCAAATGACCACAGTGTTTTAGGTAAACTATAAAATAGATTTATTAAGTACAGAAAGAGAGCTTTTATAAGTGATAGAAAAGTGATTATAAGTGATAGAAAACAGATCAAAGTAAATTATCATAAGAAATAAAAACAAAATGCAAACCAAGCTTACAATACTAGATCTGATCCAAATCAATAATCTCTCACCCTAACTGATGATGCACACAGCTCAGCAAGTTTCCATACATGGACTAGAAATCTCTTTAGCCCCTGTTCAGGCTTTTGCCATTGGTACTTTCAACTGTGTTGTTAGATGGAGAGTGAGGTGCAGTCATGATGTCATCTCTCCCTTTTATAACTTCTTTCAACTCTCTTTTGCTATGACCAGGGTCAAATAGTTCCCCAGATGTCATGCTATTGCTGAGAGGTTTCTGTTGTACACAGGTTCTGGGAAATCCTTCTGCTTGTGTGCATTTCCTCACTAAGCTCTTAATGTGGTTTGGCTTTTGTATCTTGTCCCTGAAAGGCTGTTCGTGGCTGTTCTCAACCTCTCAGCATGTTTCAATAGCACCTACAGAGCCTAACTTCACATACAATCGAATAAGATTTTAAGCAGAACAGGACTTTTAGAATGATATCTCAGAAGACATACCTTATACAACATATATCATAATTATATGACAGCGGTGAATATGGGGGTGCCAAGGAGTCACAATATGGCCTGCACCTAGAATATTGCATGAAGTTCTGTTGCCCCACCTGAAAATATATTGGATTTGAAAAAGGTACAGAGAAGGGCAAGAAAAACGATCTAGAGATATGGAACAACTTCCATATAAGGAGAGCTTAAAAAAGACTGGGATTGGTTAAAAAAAGCGATTACTAAGGGGAGATATGAGAGGTCTGTGTAACCATGCATGGTGTAGGGATATGGAATATGGAAGTGTTGTTTACCCCGTCACAAGGATGCTGGGGAGAAGGTGTCACACAATGAAATTTATAGGCAGAAGGTTTAAAGCAAGCAAAAGGAAGTATTACTCCCCACAATGCCCAGTCAGCCTGTGGAACAGGTTGGCCAGGGGATGTTGGGAAGGCCAAAAACATGAGTGGGTCCCAAAAATAACTAGATAGGTTCACAGAGGACAGGTCCATCAATAGCTATTAGTCAAGAGGGACTGGGATGAGGCCTGTGCAGAGCCATCCCCTCCATAGATTGGTTTGAGGCTGCCACCCCAAGCCCTGCACTTTGGGGGGGCCTCTCAGTGGCTGCCTCAACTATCTTATGGACAGGACTAGCAGAGCCCATGGCAGCCCAGGACAATTAGCTGGGGGTCCTCGCATGGGGCAGGAGCGGGGGTTGGCCCTCCACAAAACATGGAGGCGGGAGCTGGGGAGGAGGGTGTGCAACCACCTGGCAGCCTGCTCCGCTCCACTGCCATCTTTCAGCCCGCTGTGCTCCACTTCCCCATGGCTGCAGGAAGTGGAGCACCTTGGCCCTAGGTCCCCCCGCTTCCCGCTGCTGCGGCGGGCTGGAAAATGGGCGGCAGGATGGAACAGTGCAGGCTGCTGGGTTGCTCTGGTTGCTGTTGCCATGGTGAGTGCAGGGGGCCTGATCCCTGCTGCTGTCCCACGCTAGGCCTCATGGTAACCCCCCGGCTCGCATCGCTCGGGGGAGGAGGCTTTGGGCGAGGGAGGAGAGCAGGAGTAGGATTTGGGGAGAGGGGTGGAGCAGAAGTGGGGTGGGGGCTGGGCCTGTGGTGTGGGAGTTGCCCCAAGCCTGGGCGCTAGAAAGGGGTTGCCCCAGGCACTGTCACCCTCCCCCCTCGGAATGGCCCTGACCCTATGCTCTGGGTGTCCCTAAACCTCCGACTGCCAGAAGCTGAGGCTGAATGACAAGGGATGGATCATTCAATAATTACCTTGTTCCCTTTGTTCCCTCTGAAGCCTCTGGCACTGGCCATGGTCAGAAGGCAGGATACTGAGCAACATAGATCAGTCCATCTGACCTAGGATGGCCGCTCTTATGCTCTTATGAGTGTCGGCTTCCTTTCAAACTCCTGCTGTGTGTCACAGGATTCTTTAGGAGAAAGAGTTGCAGCCCCAGTCGTCCCTTTCTAGGGGAGCTGGTTCCCATATTCCATTAGCAATCAGAGATGCCTTAAGACAGGCAGAAACTCCATCTATTCATTCAGTGATGACAAATCAAAGGCCAAACTTTCACAAATTGTCTCTTAAAAGAAATGTACTTCTGGTGGGTCTTAGAGTTAGAGGAGAATTCAGGGATGTGACTTTTGGGTCTATTTTTACTGCCACGTGGTAACCGGCCCCTGAACAGAGGTGTTCCCATGCAATTGCCTCTTTTAGAAATCTGAGCCAATCTCTGTCACAGGAAGCCACTCTGACCCAAGAATTGATGCTAGATTGAGACACTAGGGAAGAAAACATCCTCCGTTGCTTTTTGCAAGTTTCCCCAAGGACAGATTTCATCAGTATCAACCAAGAATGCAGCATTTCTTCGAAGATTCTACTCTGCTTGCAAGCAAAGAAAAAGAACTAGTATGTCTATGTAACAGTGCCATCTCATGTTCGTGCAGATCCTCTTCTCACATCTCTCCTGTTTTGTGGGCATTTGTCTGACAAAGCCATAGAACCGATAGACCAACATCCATTGGTATAAATAATATCATTGTATTTCCCTGCTTAAAGATATAGGAGTGAGCTAGGCAAGACTTTATTCTGTATGAAGCTTTCTAAAGATCATTTTGTCTCTTTCAGGCTCACAGCAGTCCTGAATTCAGTTATACACCTACTTCCAGGACTAGAACTACTTCTGCATGAATGCTATCAAAGCATGAGCTCTAGTTAAATATTAAGAACAAAGGGAAAACTTGGTAGATAAAAAATGCATTTGAAAATTTCCAAGGGTAGTAAATTATTAGAGAGACTTACTAAGAACAATAGTCTCATTTATATTGAAAGCAATGTGACTGTAACAATATTGTTCCCATTATTTTCTGTTTTCATCTTGTATTTATAGTAATCATTTTTTCCATATGTCTTGACAAACCTAAAAGTGATGCACTTCAGTGAATGGGTAGGTAAAGTAGATTGCTAATAATTTTCATATGCTTGCCCAAAGACATGGGTAGTAACATATCTGGAGATTCCTCTCATATCCACCATGAACCCTAATCTTTAGACACTTCCCACAAGACATACTGCTTTTGAGTTGGCCCATTGAAGTCAGCTGTGCCCCAGTGAATTCATCTACTCATAGTAGCAAGCACTAAGCCCAGAAATGTTTGTGGGATTGGGCCCCTTCTCAATGTAGCACTAACCCACAGGGTTGTGGACTAGCTCTCTCTCAAGACTGGATTATACAGAACTCACTGTCTACTAAAATTAAATGACATCAGGTGAAGCAATGCTTTTGGGAGAACAGAATAAGATAAAGCTGGAAAATTTTGTTTTGGAATGCATTGCCAGAGTCCCAGCTGATGTAAATTGGAGTAGATTAAAATCCACAGAGCTATATCAATTTCCCTGTATCCAATACTTGTTGGAATGGTAACCTACAATTGGACACATTCCCATACCTCTGGTGGAAAGGCTACTAATAATACTTGCATTCAGGCAGAGCTGATTAGATGCACCTGCAGAATGTGCACTACCTGGAGAAGGGTGAGATTGGCCATAGAAAAGGGAAGTTTTCTCAGGAACAGAGATACCGTCAGGGAGTGCTAGTAAGCTTCAGTAGTAAGGGGAGTTCAGCTTGAGGCAGTTGATAACCTCTTCCATCAATCCCCTGTTTGAGGAAGTCAGATACTGCAGGCTTGGTAAGAGCAAAGACCCAAGAGAGCTGTTTCAAACGTGTGTGTGTGTGTGTGTGTGTGTGTGTGTGTGTGTGTCCCCATCCTAGGAAGCACTGCCAGGGATAGAGACAAGAGAACTGTAAATTGGGCTCTGTGAGCTAAACTCCTTCTGGGGGCTCCCAAATAGAATGCAGGGCAAGAGGATCAAAGCTACTACAACTTGTGAGTTGGCTGACTACAAAATCCACAGGCTCTGGCTTGAGCCTGCCCAAAGATTTTCTCAGAGAGCTCTATAGCAGTTTACCATATAAACTGAGTTCTTTAAGGTCACATCCACCATGCTGGAATTGTGGTTTCTCTTAGGTCAACAAATTGATAGAAATGTGTAACTTCAGGGACTTCAAAGTTCATGAGATTTTTAGAGTAGGTCTGGTTTTCAAGGAGCTCAGAAATTGTGCTAACTATAGCCTTTTTTATGTTGAATTTTAGTTGGTATTAAATAGTCACAGTGAAACATGATTTCATAGTAGTAATTCTACCACCCAGCAGCTGTAATTCAGAGGATGCATTTTCAAATCTGGAACAGTCAATAATCCAAAGTGCCATCCAAAATAAGTGTCATAGAGTCTGCTTTAGTAATAAAGATTTCCAGATGGCTGATACTTATGTAGAAAGGGGAGGAATGTCTAGAGTCCTATGGGTAAGGGTATGTGATTTAAAGGAGACATATTTTTGTCTATCTTTTATTTTTGTCCCTTTAAGAGGCACCTTTCTTTTGATGCTGTGGGTGGGAAACATATATCTGTATTATGCAGCTATAACTTAAATTCCAGCAGTAGAAGCTAAGTTCTCTCTAAATGCAGCTGGACTCCTCAGAGCTAAGCCTTTTGTCCCCTCATCATGGTTTTTTTTTCTCATATCCAAATAAGTGATGAGTAATTCCTTGGTTTCAATTTATTATTTAAGCAACTATGCTTGATGTGCTTCAAAGTAAACATTTTTCTTGGCTGTGCCCTTAATGCAAAGAAGATTTCACAACCACCTCTTATTTTAGTTTTTAATTGCCTCAGTTGCTGTCAAGTCCCCCCTCCCCTTTTATAGCAGGTTTTTTCTGTTCCCGCATTGCTAATGTGATGATCCACAGTTGCAATATCGTGGGGCCGGCTCTGAGAAATCCAGAACATCATGTTTGCTTTTGGACTTCTCATTCTTTTTTCGGGGGAGGCTTTGTAAATCAAACCAATGCTTCATTCTCTCCTTCACTTCCCACTTCACCCTTAACTGATTGTTCTGTCTCCTTTCACTGACTGGTTGCCTCATGCGCTGTCATCAGGTGCTTTCTACAGTCCAAGCATCAGGGCTTTAATTTATTTTTTCTATCAACACATTTGGTTCGTGACAAAAAAAAAAGATCACCCTTGTGCTTGTCAATGTTAAATTAAGCACACCGCCCTCCCCCCCAATCCTCCCACAGATTCTGCTTTGAGGTCCTAACAAGATACATTTATAATTATTTAGGATCTGGGTTTGAAGATCCAAAATTGGCACCAGATGAACCGAAACAGAGCTAATTGCTAATTATTTTTCTAACATTAAGTTGTTAGGTGTTTTGTGCATTGCAATCTTTTAGTTGGGTTTGCATTCCAGGGCCAGATTTTGATTAGTATTTCTAATCTGTTAAGCAATACCAGCATATTTTTTTCTGTGGAAGAAACACAGAGAAATACGGAGTCTAATTCGGATGTCATTTTAAAGAGTTTTAACTCCAGTGGGCCTGATTTTTCCACTCACACTAGAGTAAACTGGGAATAATCCCTGTCAAATCAATGGATTTTCTCTTCAGTAAAATTAGTGGGAGAAAATGAGTGTGACATACTGTAGTGTGAGATCAACATTGCCAGTTTATGCTCTAAGAAATGGAGAGAAACCAGGTGAAAGTACATGGAGTCAGAAATCTCAGAGAATGGTTAATGCAGAATTTGTTTTCTATAGCTGGGAAGGTGATAGCAACATATCCACGTAGGTTAGCATTTGTAGATTTGTCAATATCAGTGAAATTACTCTGGATTTACATTGCTATAACTAACTTTTGGTTCTGAATACTTTGCAGCTATTTTGGCTATGGAGATGAAATTTTTTGCTGCCGTTTTATACTCACCCCATCGCTGCCTAGTGACCTAGATTATGAAGGCTACAGATTAAATGTCGAAACCTACATTCTTTGATACTAGTGGAGATTGGAGCATACAAGAATTGCAGGATGGATCCATAAATTGATTTTAAGGGTTTGGGTTTCCACTGTTTTTTTTTTCTTATCTCAAAGCAGTTATTAAGCTAATTTACATGAGACAAGCACTTCAGCAAAAGCCATCTTCTAGCTATTGTTTCAGCTGAGCAGATGTCATTTGCCTACATTATGCATTCTTCATTGTACTATGCTAATTTTGGAGGGGCAATTTTTCTACATTGAGCGCTGCTGCTTTTAACAGAAACCTCTTTATGGCATTGGCCCCGGGGAATTGCTAATTCTGCCAGATCAAACAAAGGCTTATTGCTCCAACTGGGCATAGTTGTGCCTCCTAATACAGCATGAAGTTCACAGAACAGTGCCTCCAATCTGCACATAGTTAACACCTGGTCTAATGCCTTCTGGCAATTAATCAAGATATCAATCAGGGATGCCAAAAATTAATAAATAACCCAAGTTTGCATATTGGCTGTCTTCAGGGTGAAAGAATTTGCACTGATGCTTACAAGCCATTTAAATATTTTGACTGTGTTTCCAGTCATTGATACTGTACAATACAGTAATTAACTACTGGGCATGAACAAGTGGTACCTTGAAAATTTACCCAACAATGCAAGCTCAGGATTAGTTTCACAGTAAGAAAAAGCTTTAATCTGATTAATCAACCCCCCAAATTCTCTAAACTCTTGGAGGCTCATCCATTGTTAGTAAAATTCTGCAGTGTTACACCATTGCGTATGCGGAGCAAGGGCCCGCTCTGCATCCCAAGGTTTTCAAAAGGGAATAAGCCATTGGTTTCAGTGGAGTCCAACCTGGCTTATTCTCCATTTGAAGTCTATGGAATTACTGTGCATTGTGAAGTTTAACTCCTTGATGTGTACAGTGCAAGCGTATGTACTAAGTACTGTTATCATCACTGATACACAGTTTGTGTTATCCTACTTCCTGATGATGGCCATCAGAAGGTAAGCTTGTATCAAAGGAGTTGTTCCTCTCCCCCGCCCCCCCGAATACAGAGACCTAGTCAATGCGGACAAGAACATCCTCTTTTTCTGTGGTTTATTAGTTTTGACTGTGGTTTTTTGTTATGCAGATAAAATATTCCAGGGAATTTGTTATGCAGATAAAATATTCCAGGGAATGAATCACTCCATTATTGTGCTTTCTGTAGGCACTGAAGATTTTTTTATTATAGAGGAGACAATGTATATGGCATTATCACAATTAGATCTTGTCTACACTTACCTGCAACTCTTGAGTTACTTCAGCTATGCAAATAGTGTAGCTGAAGCTGACATACTTACTGCAGCTTCTTGAGAGCACTGAGATCAGCATGGGCTGCTTTCCCATCAATGCCGGATACTTTTCTCCTTTTGGTGGAGTGGTCTCGGAGATCGATTTATCGCATCTACAGCAGACACAATAAATCGATGGCCGGTGGATTGATCACTACAGTGTTGAGTCACCGCGTAGTGTAGACAAGGCCTCAGTCACTCTTGTTGGCAGTCCCATCAGAAGCCAGGAGTTGAATCTAAATTTTGCTGTCACCACCTAGGTCAAGACTGAAACATGTTGATGGGGCAGGGCTAAGAACTCTCTACTACTTCACTGCTTTGCTTGTGCTCTAGCTATTTGGTGGATAAATAGGAGAGCAGTATCTTGCTTTCAATCAATGGCACTAAGTCTGCTTCCGGATAGTAGAAAAAAGGGTAAGGCAAATTTGGTAATTTTGAAATAGAGGAATGCATGTTTCCAGCTATTGCCAAGAGCAGAATCATAGACTACTAGAATTGGAAGGGACCTCAAGAGATCATGAAGTCAACAGCTCCCTGCCCACATGGCAGGACCAAGCGCCA